AAACTTTTCAATTGTAACGCAATCCCAACTAGTAACCTTTAGTGACTAACAGTTCATTCCATAGTTTACTCGTTTCAGTGTTAACTCATTAGTACTCTCTATTTTACTTATTTTTTCTATTTCTCTCTTCTTCTTAGGTTTGACTTATAAATTAATACCTTAAAATTTGTAAATATATTTTGTTCAAGTTCATTCATACCCGGTACACAAGCGTAGGGCTCCATATCCGTGACACCCACATCTCGTAGTACATCTTCATCAATCAAGAACTGTCCAGTATATGAGCGGCTGTCACGTGTTAGGATGACGTAAGCGGCATCTGCCATGATATCTACGGTACGGCATTGTTTGATGGCTTCTTCTCCTCCGAGCATCTTCATGGCAGCTGTTGCTATGGCTACAAAAAGAACATGAGAAAAAAAAATCACAGGAGAACCCCGAGAAAATCCATCGAAGAAYAGGAGACAACCAACAAACAACTCTATTCGCATACGAACAAACCCGGAACGCATTGTGTACAGGCGGCACATTTGCCTCGTACACAACCCGTGCTTCCCTTGGATGTGTTGCATCCAGCTAACCTGTTTTTGGCCAGAGTGCATTGACAGCTATGCCATCATCTTTGAATTCTTCTGCCATTCCAAGTGCACACATGGACATGCCATACTTGGCCATTGTGTACGCTGAATAAAATACGAAAAAAATTTAAAAACTATTCACAAATTTTCGCTATTATGATGTTCAATTTGGCATGTCTTCTCTTTGGCCTCCATTTGGTTTATKAGCTATTCTTTATTTCAGCAAAGGCGTAGTCAGGGTGGGAGGCAAAATAATATCATTTTTTTCTTTCTTCCTATTTCATTGGGCTACCTGTGGATTTGGCGGGAATTTTCGCGCCAAAACGCATGTGCTCGCCCTATATTTACTTACGCATGTTTACTTAATTGCCATCAGATTACTAAAGAACCAAGTCATCACTATTAACGGTGATTTTTTTGTTGAGAATATATCTGACTTCGTTAATGAATGTCTGTCTTTAAGGCATCCACTCCAGAAGAGAAAAAGCACAGAATACGTTTATCTAGGTTTGCCTTTACAGAGGAGGACCACAATTTAGGTACAGCCTCTAAGATTCCAAACCATTCTACTCTGGTTTCAAATGTCTTGTAGACATTTTAAAAAATCAGTTCATTGTATCATCATGTGGCAACTTTAAATGATGTAAAAGTTTGTTCTCTGTAAATCTAAACTAAATCAGTACCCGTTACAGCTGTATAACTGAGGACTGTCTGTGGGCATTTGTGGCATAATTAAATTTACAAAAGGTATGTTTCTTAATGATTTGTCCTACAGCACTGACTTCATTAGAGTTTGAAAACTGGTGTGTGCTAGGAACAAATTAGAGTTCACACTTTCGTTTTAGTTTATTTTATTAGACACACTATCACGAAAAATTGTTCAAAAATATTTTTATACAAGCAATATAAAATGGCTGCTTATGTCTCTGTATAAATTTGTGATATAAACACTCTGGCAGCTGTAGAGCACTCATGAAACACTCAGCTATRCCTCATGTGAGAGAGCTTACTTCTCTCATTTTCTACACCTTTAAAAGTGTGCCCCAATGTGTACATCACAGCATAGAGACGAGTGTACATTTTATATTCCTTAATATCACATTCCAAGAGCATAACACTCAAGAGAATGACTCAACATCAAACTCACAGGACAAAACAAAATTAATGCCTACATGTGTTCTAGCATCTAATTACCAACATGATTCTTGAACCAGATAGGATTCATATTCAGAGGTGGACTCAATGTCAGTATGTGTGGGTTCTTTCCTTTTTTCAAATAAGGTAAACAGGCCTGAGAGCTGTCAACAGAAAAAATTCAATATTACTACAAATCTTCACTTATTCCAGCTTAGTTGACTGTGTTCCTAGAAAGGAATTATGGTTCAACTATTTTTGGCTAGCACTTTGCAAGCAAGCACCGAGTACAATGTAGATTTTTCTTGTCAATTGAAATGGAATTCTGCCATAAGTCTGAATAGCAGTTATGAACCATTTAAAGAATTAAAAATTCACATTTCAATGGTTCCTAGTGGCAGAACCATGGGAAATGCAAATCAAAATTAATACAACGTTGAATCCTCAATTCTGATTGGTTGACCTTGGGATCTTTCCAAAGGTCAACTCAGCTGGTTACTTAGCCCTAGTTATCTTTGAATATAAAATTCTTGCCATCAGAAACATTTAAGTTAAAAACATCAAGATGGATTGGTTTGATGTATTCTGTATTAATAAGAGAGTGTCTGTTCTCAAGACAGTCACCCGCAAGAGGGTACAGAATTTAATCTAGGCCTGCCTTTACAATGAATGCCCATAGTTTGGATATCCATTAAGATTTCAGACCATTACTCTGGTTTCAAGCTTAAATAAAAGAAAAGCAAAAAATATATAATATTCAGATCCGTGGAGAATCATCATTTGGCAAGAAAATAAATTCTTTGCAGTTTCATTTCTTTATCCTCTGGCCTACAGTATAAAACCTGCTCTCCTTTCCCTTTTCCCCTCTCCTCCCCTCAACAAATTTGCTTTCATTGGATGGTTATATGATGCCTAACCTTGACCTCTTTCTCCTTCAACAGTGGTTGGAAAAGCACCTTACTTGTAGTCTTATTTGCATGGGATGAAAGCATTATGTCACTATTTCTGAGCTTAGTTCAATTTTCCAAAACTGTCTCTCTCACTCAGAGAGATCTATTTATAATCATTGTATTTCATAAGTGCTACGCGGTCCACATATTCTCATCTTTGCATCATAATTACCGCGACCTAACATCTATTTCACCCCGGCCTGCTCTCAGTCTGACCTCTAGCTCAGCTGGTAGAGCATCAGTAGTACAATTCCGAAGGTCGTGGGTTCGATTCCCAGCAAGGTCGGAAATTAATTTTTCCAATTTAATTCCAAGGGTCTTTCGCCCGGAATAACCTCGTTCCCAAGCACTATAACTTATCTATATTTCTATATTTTCATGTATTCATAATCATGAAGCATTAGGATTATATTTATTAACAAGAGTTTTTCTTTCAAAGAATATCTTATCTTCATAAACATATAAAGGATGAAGCTTACCATAAATAAGTTCCCCTTGCATTGATGTTGTTCATCAAGTCATATCTGGAATAACAAGAAAATGTTTAATTGAAATGAAAATATATTTGTGGGAATTGTAATAAATGATACATATTCATCTGAATTACAATACATTCTAATGTATACATACATATGAACATGTGACAAACAGCCTCAGTGTATTAATCGTAGGCGAAACACAATTGGAAATTAAGTTCATTTCTCTTCTGATTGAGGAAAATGAAAATGTTTATATATTTATTTAATGTTTTAGCAAATAACAAGAATTACTTTTTGTCAATGTACCATATGTATTAAACAGTATCATATCATTCTTCTTATACCAGCATAAAAGTATCATCAAAATTAATGTAAGCAAGGAATACATGTACATCTTAAGATTTTTACAAAGTAGCTGCATGTTTCAGGATTTCTTGTTAGAATCTCAGTAGCTTTATGGGGGTGTTTTCAGCAATAACTGGACTATGTCCTTCATATCTATTACCAGCAATTACTCTCAGTCAGACCAAAATGTATTAACTTTTTTACTTTTTTCATTTGAAGTCTGGTCTCAAAATAAAAAATGAAAATTGGCAGGGCAAATAATTCTGGTGTTGCAAAATTTCACAGTTCAAAATCGTGTTGCCCTCTAAGTAGAAAAATTTGACCTGCATTAAAAAAACTATTAAAAAAACAACTTGTCATTGCTAATCACCACCACAAAGTACAGCAGTGGTGCAATTCAACAGGGATGAACTGAAAGCATGTGAAGGCATCTGAGCTGGCAGCTGCTATACAGTCCATGTATGAGCCTGGAGCACAGCTCTAACCAGTTTGAATATTAGGGTTGGTGTGAGTGTAGGGAAGAACAACCGGAAAGTCAGAAAAACCATCGGAGTTAGAAAGAGAACCAACCAACTCAGCTCACATGGGGTGACTGGGATTCAAAACCCCAGACCTCAGAGGTGAAGCTAGCATCTTACCACCTCACCATTCTGACTCCCCAATAAATTTGCATTTTGGGCATTTGCAGGCCACTATTTTGAACCTTGATTTGTATATTACCTTTTCATTGGTGTCTCCAATGTGCCTGTAAGACTGATTGCACTTGCATTATTAACTAAGATGTCAATCCCACCAAACTTTGTCACTCCCTCTTCAACTGCACCAATAACAGCACTTTCATCTCTAATGTCGACTACACAAGGTAGACAGTGACCTCCAGCTTCTTCCACTATTCAAACAAAATGAATAATAGTAATCTTACTATCAGATAAATTCATCTGTACTGGTAAATATTATAAGAAACAAKGATAAACTCTTGAGATCAATTACATTCAGTTTCACATTAATTAACCCCTTGGGGGTCCAAACTTAGATATCTAAAGTAGATTTTTGCTAATAGCTTGCCAAGAAGAAGAAAATATGGTGTTTTTTGCGCTTCAATGTGAAGACCTACGAAGTGTTTAGTCTTGTTTTGCCGACTTCATGACCTCAAAACAACAACTTCAAATAACAAGTATTTTCCAACTTCATTCTTAAAAAATGCATTTTTCTTGCAAGAAATATCCTTTTGATGGGTGCCTTAAGTAGATTTTTGCTATTGATTCACCAGGAAGAGGAAAAATGTGGTATATTTTGAGGTCATGCAGCCGAAACAAGACTAAAACACTTCGTAGGTCTTCACATTGTAGCGCAAAAAATACCTACTTTAGATATCTACTAAGAATATATTTTTTACAAGAAAAGGGGATTTTTATTGTTATTTGGTGCGTCAACTTACATTTCATTGTCAAAAAACTACCCGAATTCTCCATCTKTTTTTACATTCTCACACTGCAAAAAGCCTGTAGGATGCCAGCAACAATGGCCGAGTTCATCACGTGACCTCTTAGTGCAAGTCACCTATTCCCGTTCACGACAATATAACCCAATTCTCAGTCCAAGGACTTCCATTATACACTTCATGTCTGGTCGCGAGGGAAATAGGTAGTTTTGTTCTCCCGAGGGTCTCAATGTTTCAAAGCCAAGGGAAACATCAAGACTCGAGGGAAAACAAAACTAACTAATTTCCTGAAGGACCAGATATGTCAAGTGTTTTGTTATATAGCAATTGAGACGCTCATGAAAACTGATTATGATTTTACAAATACAACTCACAAACGGTCTTGTATTTCTCTACCAAAAAGCAAGGAGAGCAGCAACAACATTTTTAAGTGCTTTTTTCACATTTTCTGAATTCTTTTTCTCAATAAAAGTCTGTAATGTCTCTGTAGAAACACTGGAAAATCTCTATCGTTACGCTTTGAGCTCCGTTTGTACTGAAAATTCAAGCAAAATATCTGCTTCCGCTCTGTTGTTTTTGATTGGTGCAAAATATCACGCCCTCAGCGATTTTCACGTTCTGATCACTTGCACTTGTTTATTTTCACGATTATTGTCACGTGCAACTTATATCCCGTTCTTGATACATTGAGATTTAACTAGTGTCACGTGGTCATCTTTCAACCAATGAGAGGGTTCGTTATATCGGAAAATTTCATAGCTACTGTATATAACAATCAGAATTAATCTTTCCCAAAGATTTCCTCACGTCCTAAATCCGAGGTTACATATACGAGAACAAATACGAAAGGCATAGAACAACTACAAAGTGCACAGCTAATTACATTTATAAAATAAATTAAATAGTACGCACGCTGTGATTGGTTGATAGCCATGTTTGCATGAGGGTATGTAAACACAGTTTTGACGTCACAACTTTCTTGTTTTCCCGGTATAAGTTCAAAAATTTACAGTTTCTTTCGAGAAAAAAAACGCCCCCAAAAATGTATTTTGAAGACGAAGTTCCAAATTTTGACTTGTGTCAGGGCCTCAGGCATAACCCTATGGTCTCACACAGGTCTTTCTGATCGTAATATCATGACAATCTCTCGTTGGTCACCGCAAAGAGAATTCCCTCAGGAGCTACAACACACGTCCTTCGTCAGGACAGCTTCGGTTGTTCAGCGACGTGCTTTCTCATGATTTAAATGCACCGCCCGATAAGGAATACAAGTATTTCAAGGAAACAGTCAGCAGCTTCAAACTTTTTCCAGCGATAGCTCTTCAGCTCCACAAAATATCTTCACGAGGCGAGACGAAACAATCAACTTCGCTGCCATGTTTTCTGGCTGTCAAATTGAGCAAATCCACGTTTCTTTCAACCGAGAATTCCAGTCACAGTGACACTCAGTTATCTACTTTTGATCACTTTCGTAAAGATAATCAATTCTGAAATCTTTTATTAAGATTTATATTCAATCTTTGGACATTTCTTTGTATTTGTTTTAAAGTTTTAGAATGATAAATGTTTAAAATAGCTAGCGATWCTTTCTCGCTTCACATTTGCCTCCTTGGCGTTTATTACACGAAATTTGATTGGCTAACGATCAAAGTTCGTGATGTATGGAGAATTTGTATTTTGATATGAGAATCAAATTCAAATAAAGATTTATTTTCTTGCAAGTGGTAATGTTTTCCCTTAGTATTTATTTTATAAAAGCAATAGAAAACTTTTTTCTCTGTGTTTACATAGCCTGATAGCAACACTCGGGGGGTTGGGAGAATTCTCGACAGTTATGCAAACCCTCGACTACGTCTCGGGTTTGCATAACTGTCTCGAATTCTCCCAACCTCCCCTCGTGTTGCTATCAGGCTATGTAAACACGGAAAAAGTTTTCTATTGCTTAAATACAACTGTTTAGGTTGCCTGTGGATGAGCATTATTTGAAGCTGAACGACTCACTTAATAAATATCTGAAATTGCAATTAGTTTTATTTCATAAGCTAAATCTATTAATTTATTACCTTCCTTAGCAGCAGTATAAATAGTCCCTGGTAGTGTTGGATGTGGAGCGGCTGTCTTTGCAGCAATAATCACATTTGCTCCGTCACGAGCTGCTTTCAAAGCGATGGCTTTACCAATACCTCGACTGGCCCCCGTTATGAATAAGGTCTTTCCAGCAAGCTTCCTTTGAAGTTGAACAACACAAAACACTATTAAAATTTCGTTTGACATAAAGAAAATAATTCAGAAAGAAAAAAAGATGATAAGAAAGCTCAAGAAAACTTACCCTGTGTTCAACATTTTGATGGTGTTGAAGACACGTGTGCGCCGACGACCTTTGAACAGCGGTTTTCAAATACTCCTCTCCCCATACCCCGAACGTTATGTCCAAGACGTTTGGGAGTGAGCATTCAATTTTTGGCGCCAAAACATTCAAGATGGCGGAAAGCACAAAAATAATTATCAAAGTCTCATGAAAAAATGCCTAAAAGAAAAAGGAAAGAAAACCCTGATTTAAAAGCGACCTGTCTTAAGGAAATAGAAGAACTAAGTAAGGAGATAAACTGTCTTGAGAATGACTTAGAGATCAAGGAGCGCCATGTAGCTGAGGTTTTTGCTGATGAGTCTTTGGCTGGTATTATTAATAGTCTGCGAGTAGGACATAGGAATCCAAGGAAAAAATCTAACGAAGAACAAGAATTAAATTTATTGTTGTCCAAGTTAGAAAAACTGGAAAGCCTTACAGGAATTATATTTGACGAGAACAAAGCAGAATTAATATCCTCCACGGATGACTATATAAATAACAATATAAAGATTGCAAGAACAGCCAAGAGATGGAGACGGATTTTATCTGGAAAATGTTTTAGTCTGCCGTTTCTTATCCAGTTTGAAACAGAAGAAATACCTGAAGAAGAAGAGCCAGCAAATGTTAAGAAAGGTATCGTAGTATAAAATGCATGACAGTATAACAAAGTTGAAAATAGTTGAAATAATACATAATTTCAGTAGCCCCCCCACCTTCCTGATACTTGCCTAATACAAGCCAGTGTGGTCTTGATTCGTCAGGGAGAATGAACTTTATACTGAGCACCTTGAAGGCAGGTCAAACTAATACAAATATCATGATGTACTTGTCATTGGGTTCCACAGGGGGGGGGGGGGGGGGCCGGGGGAGGGGGGACCCAGGGCAAATGTGTGGACTTTGCTTTGAGCCTAGAGGAAAGCTATCTGTATTTCCCCAAATATGGGGCAAGGTTTCTTAGAAAATACCCCTATATTCCACCAGCCCCTGGGACAAAATTGTTATGGAGTTGAAATAACAGATCACAAAAGTAACACAAAACCGTAGAGTGCACACACTAGATCCATAAAACAAACTGAAAGACAAGATATCAGTAACATGTATGGCAAATAGAGCATTTGATAATCAATATCAAGAAATGTTAGGTTTTGTTCTTTCATGTTTCTTTATTTTGCAACAAAAATAGTGGATAGTATGATTTGTTTATAGATTTAAAGGATTAAGATTCAAAATGCTCACCTTTCTGACCTTCAGTGTCTGCCATTTTGTGCATGACTAGTTTCCAGTTTATGGGCGGTGTAGGTCAACACAGCAATCCCAATGCCAGTAAATCAAAGTCAAGATAAAACTCAAACAAAAAACATTGTTATACCTCCGTTTGCTTTTTTAGAACTTTAGAGTCAAATACTTTATTGAAAACAGGTCTTTACAAAGAACTCTAATGCTTCCAGGGGGTTTCAGAATATTTTATCTATCTACCACTACTCCCCCAGGTACTTGGGCAAGGATTTAAGGCTAAGTGCCAACTTTCCCCCTAATCTCCCCGAGTCTAGCCAGCCTATTTCTGATTCATGGAAAAAACTATAGTTTTTTGACTGCATGATGCTAATCTTTTCCATGCAACCAAAGTATTTGCTACTATTTTAGTAACTGCAAAAAATACCATAACATGGTGTTATTTAAATGTGAAATCATTTTTCACCAAATAAGTTGGCAGGAAAAGCTTTAGCAGGAGTATAGAAACCTAGTCCATCAAAACACCAATGATCTGAGTAGTTTCTAAAACCTTAATAGCATGGAAAAATAGGCATTGTGACATGGTTTATATTGGAAGCATAGATGGCATGCAATGCTGCACAGCTTCTCACCATTGTCGTAATGAGTTTCATTGTCAGACTCACCATCCAATATATTTATATGTTTCTAAATTCCAATTTAATAAAAAAAACAAAGGCCATAGGTTTGTTAGCCACTGCCCATTTTAAGGTTCATTTTCTCACAATATCTTGTAATTAAATCCCTGATGTTATTGTTTATAGCAGTAGAAGATCATGAGGATATTACTGTTAGAGTGACAAAGCTTTCATTTGAAGTAAATTGTCCCTTGGCAGCCAAAGAATTGAACAGATTCATAGCAACTGCAGAACAGGAAAAAGCCATTGGAACCACATTTATAGCATTAGAGCAATATGCTAAGTGGTATGACTGTAGAAAAAAGACTTTTGTTCACTTTAAGTCAAAATACCCTGATCTGGTATGCATCTTCGATGGGCCAAATAGAAGTGACACTATGGAAATAAGAAATAGAGTCCATATCGGCCTTTATTTCATCATTCATTGGACTATAATTATACAAAAAGATGGGAATGTTCTGCCACAAATTGATGCCTTTGTTGCTTGTCCAAGCAAGGTTTGTGGGTCAGAAATAATGCCTGTGTTAAATTCCACTCCAGAGCAATTCAGGAAAATGTTATCTAGGTTTGGAATTGAGCAAGCAATAGAATGTATTATAATGATTGCCCAACAGTAGGTATTAAGTTATAATTAGATAAGAGTAAAACTTTTAGATTTGAAGCATGGAACTTACACAGCTAAGCCATTTTAATTCCAAATACTAAGTGAAATTTCTATTTAAAATTTAAATTTCACTTTTTTCTCTTTTTTGAGCCAAAAAAATTTGATTTTTTGTAAAACTCAACCTGGTCTTTGCTCGTAAAAATGCATTTTTTGACCATTTCGTTGTTTTTTTTAAAATAAATATATTTTCATTTCACGTATCAACTTATCTATACCTTATCTATTAAGAAACTTTAGTCCTGTGCCCTGCAGTTAGATCTACAGTATCTATGAGCAGACTTACAACTTTCAAATTCGTTTCACAGGCCAAGTAAAATCACTCGAGTAGAACATGAAATAATTAACTTGTAGTTTTATTGTAGCAATGAATATTATGCGCCTTGTTTTATCGGCATGTCCTAGAACCTGGACTGGACTCTGTGCTTTCATCTTGGACTACACTTTCAGTTTTACATGAAAATTATACATCTTTTCATCATTCATTCTCTTCAATACCTATACATATTTAAGATTATATCATTTATTTTTGGCAATCAATGTTCTTTGTGTGTGTGTGTGTGGCTGGAAGCGAAAATCTCAAGTGACATGGCTGGGAGTTATAAGTTGTCAGTCCTGACAGTTTGCTGTTTATTCATGACTCCCATGTTATCAGAGCCCAAAAGCACAGAAATTCCAGCTCCTTTCTTGACATAATATATTTTTCAAAAAAAAAGTTTTACTAAATTTAAAGTGGGGATTTGTACATGTTTCTACGAAAAAAACGCTGAAGATTGAATGACAGATAACTGAGGCAAAGACAGCTACAAAACTAGCTAAAATTTCTCGGAAAAAAAAAAAAAACAGATAAAGAAATGTCTATCGATATCTGGATACCTTGTAAGATAACCGCTTTGCGCGGAAGCCGAATTTCGCGCTGTCTTTTCAACTTTATTCTATAAAAGCTAGATAAACGTAGTAGGTTTCGAAAATATATTTTAAGCCGTTGGTTCTTGAGCAGAAAAAAATTTATAATGCTCAAAGTCGAATCCTACCTATCATCGATGGGAATGTTCCAACAGGATCAGAATTTCCGCCATGACCAAAAAAAAACACATCAGCAAATACTGACAAGTTACTCAAGAGATGACAAGCGCTCTGATAACATGGGAGTCACGCAGAGGAGTAGGAGCGTGATCAAATGGCACGTGACCTAATCGACCAATCACAATCATGATCACAGACAACAAAAAATATCACAAGAATTTCATAGTCGTCGTAAAGAATCATTAATTTCCCCTCATATTACTTATCATAACCTCATATTTTTTAATTGTCATGTAAAACTGGAAGTCTAGTCCAAGATGAAAAGCACAGAGTCCAGTCCAGACTCCAGTCCAGCTTCTAGGACATGCCTAAACTAATACTAATTGATACTTATATATGTTTGACAACGTCACGCTGAGATACATCAAGCGCACTTGCTAGTTCACTTATCAGTTGTTTCAGATTAGGATAGTTCGTATCACGAATTCATTCTTGGTCTGGTTGTTGTCGTTTTATAATTATGATTGAACGAACAGTAAGAAGTAAAACTCTAAATGTCGAGCGACGACCCTAAGGTCTGGGTATTTTGCTTGCGGTCTCAATGAATCTTGAAGTATTTTCTGTCTGCGTAGTACTTTCCAATCACGATTAGTAGTGTGATCGCCTATATAAAGCCTTAACATTGGAGCATGCTTAAAAAAACTGAAACCATGCTTCTGAAAATACAAAGGATGCGAAAATAGCTGGCGCACGGTTAGGACTATTCTTGTCTGTATTAGTACGGTTCATATACCATGGATCCTCATTGGCTGAAAAAGCGTCTCTAAAAACATTAAAAACATTACGCGTGCATGTGCATCGTTGGCTTGACAATTTCTTGGAAATCGCCATATAGTATTCAGAAACTTGAAAGGAATACGCCTTAATGCTTTACGTGGAAAATCAGAACATTTGATTCATATTCTACACTTATCTACGATCCAGTTGTTGTTGCTTTATCGCCAGGTTTAACCAGTTCGCAAAGGAAAATAAGTGACATAAAAACACTAGACAATTTCTGAGTTCCTACGTGAATCAAAGTGCGGATCCAAATCACGCAAAACACTCCATCAAAACCAAAAAAAAACACCTCGTCATTTCATGATGGTTCTTGGACGATCATGGCTTTTGCAAGCACTATTCCTCGTCATCAAAGTAAGACTGGTTTTCGCAAGCACTAAGACAATCTTTGTTTCACCTCCTGGAAATGATCTTCCTTCTTGTGGTTCCATTGCAAATCCGTGTAAAACACTAGACATGGCGTTACAAACAGCGAAGAACCGAGGTATGAACTTCNAGAGAAGACAAGAGAAAAGTTTAAATCAGGATCGGATACGTATATGCGGAAAGGGCATATCATCACATGACTCTGTCTGATAACGCCTCTTGCGTGACATTCCCCCTCAGTACGTGGCGGAAGTCACATTCTTCTACTTGATCTTTTTTGTGCAACAGTTTTCTTGGAAATAGGATATTTAAATTCGGGGAAAACAAGGAAACTTGTTCTAATCATACTTGCATTGCCTTCAGTGTTCAGTGTAAACCGAGAATCAAAAGTATATTGCACTAAAATATCCATTTGGTCCGATATCATTAAGTTCAAAGAAACAACAATGAAGAAACTTGAGATATTGAGTCTAGGTATTCTTATTTGTTTGATAAAAGTAAACGAAGTCTTGGCTAATGCTTGGACGACAATAACTGCATCACCTTCTGGAAATGATCTTCCTTCTTGTGGTTCCATTGCAAATCCGTGTAAAACACTAGACATGGCGTTACAAACAGCGAAGAACCGAGGTATGAACTTCACTCGAATACAACTCAAACAAGGGAACTACGACTTGAAGAAAACATTCATCTTCACTTCCRCAGAAAAYGTTTCTTTTGTGGGAGAGACTCCTCAAGTGGTAATTCAATGCTCGGTTAATGTAAGCCTGACTTTTCTATTGAGTCAAAACATAGAATTGCACAACTTGAAGTTCATGGGTTGTGGAGGATGGCAGAAAAGTTTRGTGGCTAGTARAGGCWCTTCTGGTACTTTACAGTACATGGAATAYATAACAGGACTGTACTTTAGTTATGTAAAAAACCTCCATATTAGTAATATTGAAGTCTCGGCAAGTCRTGGTGTCGGAATAACGCTTAACGATGTCGCAGGGACTATCAACATAACAAAGAGTGCGTTTGTTGATAATCTGCCTAGAGGTAGACAAATTAATCAGATAAACACGAGCAAGACGGAAGAAAATAATCGGGCACACACTGGAGGAGGTATATTTGTATTACTCAATTCCTATGGTTACAACCTGATCAAYATCAGCAAGGAGACACACGACACTTATCAGAACAATAACCAATACTTGTTTACCGACGTCGTCTTTCGTGGAAACGARGCGGAAAGTCCCGGATTTAAAGTCACAATGAATACTCCACTAGTGCCATTMAGTCGTGGCGGAGGTCTYGGCATATATTTGTTCGGTAACGCCAGTGGTAACGTACTTACCATAACRAGATGTGAGTTCGTTGGTAATAAGGCCCAGTGGGGAGGGGGTTTACAAGTGGAATTCAAGCATTTCACTCAAAATAACCRTCTACACGTCCAGCAATCCATTTTCAAAGAGAATTACGCCAGCTTTGCCGGAGGTGGGGCGAGATTCGGGGATTTAACGATGTCTAAACGAGCTCTTCTGCCAAACACGTTCCATTTTGACGACTGTCAATTCCTCAACAACACTTCTATCTGGGGAGGAGGAACCTCAATGTATRGCACAACATTCATGGGACAAATAGAGTCGCCATCAAACAGACAGAAGTTTGTATTAAATAATTGTTACTGGGGAGAGAACAGAGGCAACGTAGGATCTGCCATTGGAGCCTTTCTCTTYAACCTCAACGATRACAATATTGGACCCTATCAAMCAGTCCATATAGTTCTTGATAACTGCAAAGTTGTGAACAATGAAGTCATTACTCAAGAAGAGGACATTTTAATTGGTCAWGGAGCGGTRTACACAGTTGAGGTGCYCATCATATTCAAAGRAAACATTAGTATTGGGAATAACACCAATACTGGTATGGTACTGGACTCRGCTATGGCAGTGATTGRTGGACAAGTTGTATTTCATGGTAACAAAGGATACCGTGGAGGAGCATTGGCATTGTATGGCAACTCCAGAGTAAGACTCRGCAAGAGGTCCAAACTGRTCTTCGTWGGTAATGAATGCATGGAGAAGGGAGGRGCAATGTACATTAATGCACCAGGACCCCCTGAGGTTAGCTTTAATGCAACAGGCTACAGTACGCACCAGTGTTTTTTTGACTACGTTGAGCAATTCGTTGACTACGACCAATGGGAAACAGAAATAGTCTTCCAAAATAACAGAGCACCAAACGAAGAATCAGGACTATCGGTTTACGCCACGACACTGCAAAATTGCCGTCGTGTCGGCGAAAAAAGAAAAAACAACACGGTTCTACAATGGCGTATTGTAACATTTCTCGACGCAAGCGGTAAAAATCGAACAAGTGTGAGTAGAGAAGTGTCGACGGATCCTTTAGATATTGCATTTGATAAAGATGATTGGATTGTTGGGGCAAGTGAGCCTTTCAACGCTTCGTTGGCACTCCTGGATGAGAAAGGCAATCCTGTTGTTGGAATGATAGATGTCAATACTTCAAAAGAAGACAGCTCTGGTAATGTTCGATTATCCACACCATCTTCACTCTTTCTGGTGAATAATAAGAAAATACAGCACCTTTCATTGGCTGGCAAAGTAGGCAACAGGTTTAGTGTTGTTCTAAGGTCAATAGGAGAACATCAGCTTCGAAAAGTCATAACGAATCTTACTCTCAAAGAATGTAACCCTGGATTCCATAACGAAGGAGACGAATGTGTTTGCTCTGACAYCATCTTAGATGGTATTTCACGATGCGGAGACGATAGAAAAAGTGTGTACCTGAAGCGYGGCTACTGGGCAGGKATGGTCGATGGAAAGTTTCAAACCGCAATTTGTCCTGTCAACTACTGTACATGTCTTGATCCATTTGGAAGTAACCTCGTTGGTGAATGCACTTATATTCCAAGCCAAATATGCGATGGAAATCGAGACAGTGATAGCGTACTGTGTGGAAAGTGTAAGCCTGGATATACGGCTGCTTTTGAAAGTGACGAATGCGTTGAGGAATGCAGTGATTCAAAAAAATGGTATTTCCTTTTAATATTTTTGTGCTTGTTTTTGTTGGTGTTAGGTGCAATGGTGATTGAAGTGGATGTATTCACTGGTTATCTCAACGCCTGGCTCTACTCYTATCAGGTCATTACACTTATTACGCCAGGAACATTTGCCTTTGATGGATTCATGACTTTTGTTATTGGACTAGCCAACTTAGAATTACGAGTTAAAAAATTCTGTTTAATAAATGGGATTGACGACGCGGACGAGATGATGATAACGTTATTAATCCCTGTAGTAACGATGATCCTAGTGGGGGTGGTGTTTTTCTTTGGCGCAAAGAAGAAATGGTGTCCTCGCCGTTATACTAATAGAGTCAAGTCTCCTTACAGTGCCTTRTGTATCTTCTTGGTCTTATGCTACACTAACATCACGAGTATTTCGTTGAAAATCCTTAACCCTGTCAAAGTAGGAGATAAATTACAGCTGTTTTTACAAGGAGAGCTGGGATTCTTCCAAGGCAAACACATCGGGTATGGTATCACCGCTATCCTACTCATCTTGTTAGTTGTGTTGATGGTTCCATTTCTTCTTATAATCCATTCATGTACTTCATGCGTCAACAAATGTGCTCAAAGCCTAAGACCATTATTGGACAAGCTACAAGGTTGTTTTAAAGGTAGGTATATTGTAATGTACCATGGGTTCAAGGGGCTCTTTCGCTCCAGTGCTTCTCGGTAGTAGAATCGTTCTCTTCCCGCTACTTCGAAAATCAGTAGCCAGCGGCACAGAGTTGTTTTTTTTCTGGGTCAATCGGCTATCAAAATCTGTCACGTGATAGATTTTTTATGTACCTCGAAAACATAATTTTACTGTCTACCTCCAAATATTTTCAAATGTATTCGTCATACGAAAGACCGTGACAATAACAATTTCTGATTGGCTTAAATTCATGATTTGGAATATTGAAATATTGAAATATTCTGTATTTTACCATGACCTACGAATTGACTGATTGCCGGATTTTTTTAGGACTGCAACTTGCTTTCTAGTGCTATACGCGTTCCACTTTCATATATATTTACTATTCATACATATATTTCCTGATTTAGTTGGTGTTACTCAGGCCAAATACAAACGTCGAACTTCACATGGGCCGAACCTAATGATATTATTATTGATCTTTTTCAATGCGTACGGCTCATGTGAAGGTTCGACGTTTGACCTGAGCCTCAATTGATTTCGTATTTTTGTCATTTTAGAGGAATACCGCTGGTGTGGTGCGTTCTATTTCCTGAGTCGGTTGTTCATATTGGCATTGGACACCTACATTACTCGCAGTCCATTGAAGCGAGCTTTCCTCGAAGGAGCATGCGTACTCATACTGACGGTCTTTGTATACCTCCGACCATACAAAGAAGGGAAAGAAGGAGAAACTAGTTACGACTGGATCAATATTTCAGATGCAGTTCTTCTTTCTAACCTGACAGTCATAGCCATATTCAGTTCAGTTATCGAGGAAAGTGCATCAAAATCGGTCAGAAAAAGAGTGGGTGTGCTGATCAATGCTCTGGCATACGTACCATTGATCGTCTTAACTGCAGTGCTATATAAGGCTTTTCAACAGTATACCCAAACCCGCGACAAACAGGGAAGACATCCATTGAAAGTCAGGTTTTCGCAACTGTTATACAACAGGAAAGGTAATGATAATGAGGTCAGTGAATCGACTTCGGAGAACCGATTGTCTGGTCATCGTACAAGTGCTTCTGGATACAGATCCTCTGTAGAGTATTGATTAGCAGGTACGGTTACTGTCTAAAGCCTGTTGTGGGCTCTCTTTTCAACTTTATATTGCCAACTTAAATGTTACCTGGTTTTTCCTTTAATTTGCCATTCCCCGGCAAGTGTTTATGATAATGCTGAGTTATCTATAATTTATAAATATGATGAAATACTGAGGAGCCCAGGTTTGGCATGGTAACATGGTAATAGTCCCCTTCACGGTTCCCTGCGCCATCTTGAAAGGTAGCCGGGCCTTTGCATCGCAGCGAGACGAACGGTGGGCCACAGGCAGCCCAAACAAGGTTCCTGTTTATGGTTTATAAGGGAATGTATGGGAGTTATGATAAAGTCATGACAATAAAATTTTTCACTCAACAATTTGCCTCGAAACCTGCTGCAGTTGTGAGCTTGCAGTGATAGGAACCTGTGAATAATTGTCCAAGGTGTTGAATAAAGGTCTCTATCATTGCATGCTCACCGTTCGTGTCACTTCAATGCAAAGGCACGGCTACCTTACAAGATGGCGCAGGGAACTGTGAAAGGGACTATTGGCCACTTTAGAGTGAAGAACTGAGAAGGAGTACGACATGGAAGGTATTGRTAATTAATCTTATTAAAAGATGACGAGAAAGAGCACATGAAAATCAACAGGTTTCTGCAGTATAGCTGCGATTTGCTAAGTAACAGCTGAATTATAAGCAATCAAAAACATCAAAAAATACAAAGAAATGTATATTTACTAGCTGTGGACACTCGTCYCCAGTAACCATACTTTTCTTTGTAATTTTTGAGAATTTTGGAAGGTTGCTACTCAAAAGGTATGAAACCTAAAGTCTTGAAACTCCAAAAATTTACTCATTTTGATGCATGTACTCTTTCTTTTTATGGTGGTTATTTTTTAACTAGATTAATTCTAAAAACTCGTTCCCAGTCCTCAACTCGTTTCTAAGGTGGCCAATTGCCCTGTTTCATTATGACGTCACGGATTGCTTACGTGGACAAGCGTAATAGAAATTTAGGCTAAATCTTCTTTCTTTTAGAGATATTTAGTGGAATATTAATATATATATTAATTCTCGCTTTTCACTGTCTCATGCATAAACCGAGTTTTACTGGGCTTTCGTTTGTGTTGCAGCTATTTCATCTTCTCTGTAGACCATATGATATCTAACAATTTTACAGACTAAATAARCTATAAATGTCGATGATCTTTTTCGTTAAAACGATAGATTGTTTTGATGTGACGTCAAAGTAAAATAGAGCAAGTAGATGCAATTTTAATTCCAGCTTGGAATCTAAAATGTAGAGACATACGATGGAGCCAGACAGCCCGCTTTATCGTCGTGCAACTTATATCAGCTAGCTAGGTGGTGGGGGTGGAGGGGGAAGGGTTGCAGAAAACGTTAAAGGGCCAACGCAACGCAACGCAACTTTCAGTGTAAGCACCGTGGCGAATGACCAATCAGAGCGCAGCTCTTCCAAGACCATATGCGCTGACATATCCGATTTCATTGTAGACCAAGAAGCCTAGCGTTCCAAGTTGCGAAGAGAGTTGCGCGTTGTGATTTTTTAACAGGACCTTTTAAAACATATCTACAAATAAGGTAGACAGGGACATTTAGATTTTTACCGTTGAAGCCTTTTAGAAGAGGTCGTAAGGCCGGTGTTACTGCCCAGATTTACTTGCATTGAGCAATTACCCTTCATTTTTAAAAGTAAGGGAAGGTACTTTCTAATTGTGGTTGGGGGTGAAGGAGGCCTGTGGGATTGGCTGTAAACTTACTGAAAATAGTTGGCACCCCCCTCCCTCCTTCCATGCCTTTGGTTTTATTCAGTAAGAAATCCCGGACTCTCCTCAAAGAGTAAGCTGGAAAAAAATTGAAACTGATACCCTCGGAAATGCGATTTCCAGAGTTTTAATTATGTAACATTTTACAAAGGCAATTGCCTCCCTTTCCTCATAGTGCCTACGGCCCCAGCAAGAAAACATCTTTCGTCAAAATAAAAAGGTTTGTACCTTCCAAAACCTCTAATTATTTCTGATGACCCTCTTCTCTGAAGTCCCAGCCCTTCCCTCCCCCGGCGGCCTCCCCAATGCAAACGTACCTTCCCTAACATAACGATACTTATTGACCAGCAGAAGTTTCAGTGAAGTTTCAACGGATATAGAATACATTATAGCCATAAAACTATTGACAAGTTCACGAGAGTAATAACGTATAGTCTATATATGACATTAAAATTAACGTTTGAAACGCACAAAGAAAGACAATTTATAAATTATATAACTACTGTACTTTTACTCTCTCGTGCGAATGCAAATTGACGTGAAAAATTAACTAGAGTGAATAATACGTGTAAACTTTGTATAGTGAAGCTGAAACTCAAGTAAATTACTCTTATACAAAATCACTTATTCACTGTAGTTTTTTTTTTTTTTTTTATCTTAGCAATAATCGTTTACGATAATATTAATTATTTAGGTGTAGCGGGATTGATCTGTTTCATGATATCCCACAATGCTCCAGTTTCGAGTTCTCTGTTGTTCATCAGGGTTAACCTCGATTTTGTGCAGAATAATTATGTGATCCAGTCAAGGCCCGTGCATAATTTCAAAGTGTTCGTATTGTTGAAGTTATGCATTTGTTACTTTTAATAGACCAAATTCAAAACTCGCACCGATGTGAGGCTTAAGGTGTGAACAAAGSAATCTGGCGTGATTCGTGACTTTTGAATCACGCCAGATTACTTTGAGTCACGCCAGATTGCTTTGTTCACAACTTAAGCCTCACATCGGTGCGAGTCTTGAATTTGGTCTATACCGTTGGCATTTGTGAATATTATTTAGACACTGATTCAAAGCTAACCCTGAGTAAACGAGACTGAAATCAAAGAACACAGTGGCAATTTGAACTCGAAAATGGTCTGTTAGCGGATCAAGCACAGGTAGCTCAAGCTTGGTTTCTGTGGTGTCATGTTATAATGAAATGTATGATTCATCAAAAATTTCAATAAAATCATTGAAACGTAAAAAAATTGAGAAATAGCACTTCTTTCGCTCTGTGTGGTTATTTTTTTAATTTAGCCCGTTTTAAGGATTTTAATTTCTTACTTGGGGGGGAGAATGCTTTTTTACGTTTCAATGATTTTATTGAAATTTTTGATGAATCCCATACATTTCCTTATAACATGACAACACAGATATCAAGCTTGGGTTACCTGTGGATCAAGGGGTTGTTCCATGGAACCGGGTTTGTAAAGCTGATCGTCGTCTTTACGTTCAGTAGAACGAAATTGATTAAAATTATTGTTTGTCCTCAACTTTAAATGTAGGAAATATGCAGGAAATAGCTTTCTCTAGAACTCTTCTATTTTAAAATCCTGGGTTCAGTACTGTGATGGAAAATGAACATTTGATAACTAGTTCTCAATTTGTAAAGGGGTAATAGCGGAAACCGTTAGTGACACCAAATGATGTGTATAACAATAAAATGCTGATAAAAGGAGTTTGTTAATTTCGTAATATATCGGTAAAATTTCTATTACAACAACAACAACAACAACAACAACAACAACTTTACTCTCATTTCAATAATAATGTTACAATTATAATTGCTTAACCGCAGTTAGCATGAAAAAAAACTATTCGAGACGGAAGCAATTTGAAAAAAAAACCAAAATTAACATAGCTTCATTAATACAGAAAAGAATTGTAAAAAAAAAGAAACGAAACGAAACAAAAGAAAAAAATGCAAGGCAAAGGGACAAATTAAAGGGACAAACTTTCGAGAGGTATATACATCTTATTACCAATTCAAGGGGAAATGTACAGTGACTGTTGGTTCGGTTGGGTGTGTGGGAGTTGGGATGGACTAGATGGGACTACTTCCACTTTATGCCGTTTTCGTTAGACGTATAATCACAACTCAACACAAACTAGCTATAATAACTTTGGCCAAGTAAACGCCTATCCTGATCGAAGATCAAAAATAATGACTATATACTGACTCGCAGCTTAAGTACTTTGAACCTGCGTCTAGGCATAAATCAAGCATTTCAACACGGATTACTCTTATTTATTTGTTATAGAGCTATAAATCTACAATATTGACAAAGATAATAATAGATTGCTTAGCGTCCATCTTTGGAACCTACGATATTCTATCGTCCATGTTACTCAGTTTTCCTTTCTTCAGTTGCTAGCACAGATATTATTCATAATTTCCTGATAACTAAACGTTAAACACTACTCCTTCAAACGCTTTTATATAGAAGTTATATGATATGAAAAGTTATGTACTAAGGCAAATATTTATCAGCACAGGACTACTAACTGATGACCAAGCCGTATTACGCATTTTTAATGTACTAGATTGTTAAAGTTATCAAACAACATGTTTTTTGACAAGACCCATATATTTGTCAGGTATTTGCAGTCCAAAACGCTCGTCTTGCGCGCGGAAAGCACGTGTTGTTGTTGAAATTTCATAATGAATGAGTAATCATGCATGGGCTCAGGCATAAATGTCTTCCCATTTCACATCACGTGTCATTCCCTTGAAAATATAGCTGGGATTTTTTTTGTGAAGTTGTATCCATAGTCACGTGTCTTCTCATACGCGCAACGTTAAACGATGAAATGATAGTCTAGGGAATGAAACGTGGTCAGAAATGGGAATATATTTTGCTCAAGCTAAGGGGGTCAATATATATGTGTACACAACTCCCCTTTTTCTATTTGAGGGATAGGGGTAGGGAGTTCTAATTGACTAGTGCACTGTATATATGTCTTTTTGCGCTTTGTTTTGCATCGAATGAAAACTATCAGTTTTCTCTGTAATCACAGAGTGGGACAATCACGAACGGAATCCTCAGATCCATCCTAGGTGAAAGCCCAAGATCGAATAGAATGGAGGGAGGAAACCCTCAAAGCACTGGAGAGAACCAACAACTCAACTCACATACAACATACACATACACATACAACACCGAGCTCGCAGGGACTCGAACCCGGGTCGCATTGGTGAGAGGCGAGCGCTCACACCGCTAAGCCACCCATGCTTCCCACAAAATCCTTGAAATGCCTTGAACTATAAAACTAAACTAGCGGTTAACGAGTAAGACCGGAATAGTTCCATTTTTTAGTGAAGAAAAAACTAGTAAGATAATCTTTAATCTGCCAAGTCCCTTCTTTCTTATTTGCTAACTACTTTACTAAAATTAAAATCTTGAGACACAAATGCGACATCTTCCCACTGACCAAAGGATATCAATAGCCTGGTTATAATCGCTCGTTATCAAGCAAGTTCTGTCCCTCCGCTTGGTTCTTCATGAGTTCCTTCTCCATCCTGCGAACCAGTGCTTCGGTTACACGTAAAAACATTCTGAAAGGCAGATGGGATAAATTTCTTTCCCATATGTCTTCTCCTTTCGCGGTAACCTTTGATGGCTTTATACGAAACGTAAAGCAAGAAGACAAATGGTACGTATGCCAGAACATTGATGAACACACCCACTCCTTTTCTGACCGATTTGGATGCACTTTCCTCGATAACTGAACTGAATATGGCTATGACTGTCAGGTTAGAAAGAAGAACTGCATCTGAAATATTGATCCAGTCGTAACTAGTTTCTCCTTCTTTCCCTTCTTTGTATGGTCGGAGGTATACAAAGACCGTCAGTATGAGTACGCATGCTCCTTCGAGG